AAAAAAAAAAAAAGAAAACAGTCACACAAAACTAGCCTGAGGAACATTTTAAATGACTGCTGGTCTCAAAAAGGTCAACTGATTAAAAAGAAACAAACAAGGAAAGGAACTTTCCTTGATTACAGGAGGTGAAAAGGTCAACATAAGTGAATTATATGCTTGTTCCTTGCCTGGATAGTAAATTGCAGAAGAAAAAAGGCATAAAAATATTCTAGAAAAATTGAGAAAATTGAAATGTAGGCTGCATTATTATTTGAACAATAACTACTGAGTGTGAATACTCTATTATTGTGTATAAGAAAAATCTTTGTTTTGGGGCATACATACTGCAGTATTGAGGTGTAAATAAACCTTGTATTGAGAAAGAAAAACCTCTTCTGGTTGTGTGCTTTGGTAAAAACAGTGTGGATTGAAGTCCTAATCCTTGTAAAAAATCAGTGATAATTAGGGAAAACCCCATCGCATCTTGATAAGTTATCAATTCTGTCTTCTCTGGAGGATAACATTAGTAATTGAAATCTTATCAGTCTCATTGTTTTCCTTCATGAAAATATAACTTTTATTACTTTTAATTGAATAATAATAAGTGGAATAGTGTAGTTTTTAGCATAGCAACTAAAACATCTGTATGAATACAGAAACCATATGACAGACAGCATTGTAAAGCTGCAGAGACCAAAATTGGCCTCCAGATTACAAAGACAATAACTGGCCCCAGTGACGGGAGAACTTCAGAGGGGTGAGCTCATACCTACAGTCAATTTTTGACTGTGTTCATGTCATATTCAATTCTGAATCGGGACAGGAGGTGTTGTCATTATAACTGCCTATGAGAAGTGAATGAATCCATTCTGGAAAAAGATAAACGTTCTCCGAAATTCTGCATTTTTTCATATATAATATCGGGTACTGAGCCATAGGGTTTTAGGCATTTGAAAGACACAACTAAGCAGTCACAAGAAGAAAAGTGGAAAGAAGGGAAAGCAATGAAAACAGACCCACATTAGGGAACATTTCTCAACTAGTTTTATGCAGCCAGCATTATCTTGTTATCAAAACTCTGAAAAGAAAATGTTGAGGAAGAAAAATTGCAGACCAAAATATCTTATGAATATAAATACAGAAGTCCTGAACAGTAAGTAATGGAGCAAATCCAGCTGTTTGTGTATACTTTGTATATTTAGTGAGGGATGTGAGGCCAGTATATACAATCATATATTTAAACGCAGAGAATCAATTTGATAAAATTGCACACACATTCATGACAAAAATTTATATAAAAATAAGAGAAGAGGAAAAACTTCCCTAATCTGATAAAGAATATCTCCTAAAATCTTAAAGATTTCTGATAAAGAATATCTGCTAAAATACTTAAAGCATCATTCTCAGTAGTGAAATATTAATATTCTTGTAGTCTACCCCCCAGCAGATCAGAAATGAAATAAGGATGCCCTCTATCACCAATTCTATTCAATGCTATCCTGGAAATCCTAGCGAGTGCAATAATGTAATAAAGATAAATTGAAGATAAAATCATTGGAAAATAAGAAATAAAATGCATATTAACCTAGATAGCAAAATAATGTACATAGAAATTCCAAATATATCTATAGATAAATTATTAGAAATGATCAGTAAATTTAGGAAAGTTATTAGATATAAGGTCATCAAAATAGTATAATTGAATACAATTACATATACCAATTACAAAGAAATAAAAAAGCATTAAAAATTTATAACAACAAATTATTAATTATCTAGGAAAAACCTGATAAAAGAGTTGTAAGTCACTGCACTGAAAGTAAAACATTACTGAGAAAATAGAATAAAACTCAATAAGTTGGGAGCATAACCATATTCATGAATTTAAAAATTCAATGCATGAGGCTTGCTCTGCTGGGCTCCCTGCCTCGGCACCACAGCCCCTGCGGTAGCCGCCTCGGAGCCCGCAGCTACTGCCTCTGAGCAGAAGATGGCTGTGCCACCCATGTATGCTGATCTTGGCAAATCTGCCAGGGATGTCTTCACCAAGGGCTATGGATTTGGCGTAATAAAGCTTGATTTGAAAACGAAATCTGAGAATGGATTGGAATTTACAAGCTCAGGCTCAGCCAACACTGAGACTACCAAAGTGACAGGCAATCTGAAAACCAAGTACAGATGGACTGAGTGCGGCCTTACGTTTACAAAGAAATGGAACACCGACAATACACTAAGCATCGAGATTACTGTGGAAGATCAACTTGCACGTGGACTGAAGCTGACCTTCAATTCATCCTTCTCACCTAATACTGGGAAGAAAAATGCTAAAATCAAGACAGGGTACAAGCGGGAGCACATTAACCTGGGCTGCGACATGAATTTCGACATTGCTGGGCCTTCCATCCAGGGTGCTCTGGTGCTGGGTTAGGAGGGCAGGCTGGCCGGCTACCACATGAATTTTGCGACTGCAAAATCCCGAGTGACCCAGAGCAACTTTGCAGTTCCTACAAGACTGCTAATTCCAGCCTCACACTAATGTGAATGACGGGACAGAGTTTGGTGGCTCCATTTACCAGAAAATGAACAGAAAGTTGGAGACCGCTGTCAATCTCGACTGGACAGCAGGAAACAGTAACAGGCGCTTCGGAATAGCAGCCAAGTATCAGATTGACCCTGAACCCTGCTTCTCGGCTAAAGTGAACAACTCCAGCCTGATAGGTTTAGGATACACTCATACTCTAAAGCCAGGTATCAAACTGACACCGTCAGCTCTTCTGGATGGCAAGAATGTCAATGCTGGTGGTCACAAGCTTGATCTAGGACTGGAATTTCAAGCATAAATTAATACTGTACAATTGTTTAATTTTAAACTATTTTGCAGCATAGCTACCTTCAGAATTTAGTATATCTTTTAATGTTGTATGTCTGGGATGCAAGTATTGCTAAATATGTTAGCCCTCCAGGTTAAAGATGATTCAGCTTTAAGATGTTACCTTTCCAGAGGGACAGATAAAATCCATTTCCAAAAAACGTCCTTTCAGTGGTAGACTTGAGGGGGAACTTGGTGGCTCCTTTGAGATGCCAGGTTTCTTTTTTATCTAGAAATGGCTGCAAGTGGAAGCTGATAATATGTAGGCACTTTGTAAATTCATATTGAGTAAATGAATGAAATTGTGCTTTCCTGAGAATCGAACCTTGGTTTCCTAACCCTGATTGATGAGAGGCTCACTGCTTGATGGTGTGTAGAAACTCACCTGAATGGGACTTTTTTAGACAGATCTTCATGACCTGTTCCCACCCCAGTTCATCATCACCTCTTTTACACCAAAAGGTCTGCAGGGTGTGGTCACTGTTTCTTTTGTACCATTTTGGAGTGGAGAAGGTGGATGTGATGAAGCCAACAATTCAGGACTTAGTCCTTCTTGTGTTGTTGTTGTTTTTTTTTGTTTGTTTGTTTGGTTTTTTTTGCCCTTGCACCAGAGTATGAAATAGCTTCCAGGAGCTCCAGCTATGAGCTTGGAAGTGTCTGTGTGATTGTAATCACATGGTGACAACACTCAGAATCTAAATTGGACTTCTGTTGTATTCTCACCACTCAATTTGTTTCTTAGCAGTTTAATGGGTACATTTTAGAGTCTTCCATTATGTGTGAAATTTGATCCTCCAAATGCTGTAATTAACGTCACTTAAAAAAAACTTGAATAAAATATTGAAACCTAAAAAAAAAAATTCAATGCATAAACATGTTAAGTCTTTCCATATTGAACTACACAATGAATGTCACTTTGATAAAAATTTCAGAAGTGTTTTGGGAAATTGACACACTGATATTTTCAACAATTATTTGAAAGTGTAAACACCTAAGAGTAGCCTATTAAGGAGACCTAGCTTTATAAATCTTTATAGCCCCAAACAAAATAGCAGAAAGTCCATCAAGCTGCCACATGTATGAGTTTTACACTTCTCTCATCTTCTGTTGTTAGGGGATTGGAGCTAAACTAGCACTTTGGAAATTTCAGAAGCACAGAAATATAGTGTAAGAGAAACAAGCTTACCTTGGGGATGAGGTAGTTTCTGAACTTAATATCAGTGGTCACTGCGTGGGGTACACCGGTGGGGACAAGGTCAATGTATCTCTGGATCTCATGTATTACAGCATCTGTGTAAGGCATGTGGCTCCTATCCTGCATGCAGGGGCTCCTGTGTCTGCCAATTACATGATCAATTTCTTCCTGGACTTTAGCTGACAAGACACAAGAAAGAACTGATGGAACATTTGTCATAGCAATTCATGGCCACATTAAACATGATGTAAAAATCCCAGCAACGTTACAAACATGAGTTACATGTGCAGAAGTACAACCAGCCATATAAAAAGAATTACCATAATATAGATACATATCATTCTCCTACAAACTAGTCATTACAGTGCATAAGTACATTTCTATAAATTAGCATATATGACAACTAATACAAATTTAAGTAATACATTATTTAAAAAATAAACAGAAGTCAAGAAATTACAGTGCTTGCAAACAGAAAAACAGAAATCAAATATTATGTGTATTATCAAAATAATATATGGGGTATAACGTTAAATTGTAATGATTTTGTAAATATATTTGTGTGTGCGGTGGTGGGGCAGGGGCAGTGATGCAATTAGCACTGGTACTGTCTTCATTTTTCCACTTCCCAATTGTGGCCATTTTGAGCATGCTAGCAGCTTCTTCTGAAATTTAGATTTACATTTCTAAATATCCACTATTTCTTTCTATGTTTTACTAAACAATTTTTAGACAATATTTAATGATTTTCTGGTATGTGAGATGAGAATTTTTATCTCTATCTCTGTTCCATATACAGACGCATGCCCACAAAGTGATATTTGTACACACAGACACACACACACGCACGTATACACACACACAATTCTCCTCCTTCTACTTACCAGAATATATTTAGACCACAATTTCTGGTTATATCACTATTCATTGTTTATATCATTCTAAATATACTCACACAAGCACACACACACACACACATATTCTTCCTTGGTTCTTTAGTTAAATCACAATTTTCTATTCTTCAAGTTAGAGTATTTGCACATGTTTGAAACTCCTAGTAATAATTTCCCAATTATAGGGAAATCTCAGACTATCAATCACATCTCTTTGGTTCTTGAAGTCTCCTCTACATGTATTATTCACCTGGTCCCTTCTGAAGTGGTTGTTTCCTAGGAGCCCAGCAGCATCTCTGACACTCTCATTCTCTTACATGGGGTCTTCTGATTTCTGGCACCCTTAATTTCTTCTGACTTGGTTTCAGACATGAGATGGAGCACAATCCCCAGTATTGGAGAAAGTTAGTATGGAGGGTGAAATTTGTAACAAGCATGTAGGTCCCAAATACTTTTTTCTATGAATACACAACATAGTATGATTGGGAATTCTGATGCTGTCTGAATGCTGATATTTTATATATGACTTGATATAACTGTCTGAAAGATTTTAGTTTTCCCTTTACTTCTGGTGCTCTGAAATTCCATGACTTTGTGTCCTGTGATGGATGTTTTCATTTCATTCACTCTGCTGAACACTTGTAGATAACTTTCTATTAAGATAGCAAAATACGAAGGTCTTTTCTCCAGACATGTTTCTTCTCTGGAGAATATCTACCTGCTGAATGTCAGGAAGCAAGATGAAGAAAAGTGCTGAGTCTTTGAATCTGAGGAATAGATATTTCCCAAACCTTTTTTTTTCTGGCTTCACACCTCACACTTTCCTGGCCCTGTAAAGTGTCCCCGAGTACAGGGGTTCTTAGGCTTAGTTTCTCTGGAGACTGTGCTTCCCTTTTCCAGTGGGAAAAAATCAGGTACCTGATAAAAGGAGTCATGGAGGAAACCTGGGCAGGGGAGGCTCCCTTTTCAGTCTCATTCCCTACCTTCTTTGGTCCTTGGTGCCTCCAAATACTGACCCTTATGAGAATCATAGTGACACAGATTTGCCTCTCCTCTTGATAAATCTTCCTCTGCTGATATTTGTTACAACTCCATCCCCTATGCTGTTTCAATTGTCAGCCCTCCATTGTCTCTCCGTGTCTCAGAAATTTGCCAAAGACTTATAGGCTGTTTTCTATTCTCCTCTCTTTTTACTTCAACAGGCTAATTTTAATTTGTAATTTAGTTATTGAAATTTCAGTGGGATCCTGACACAGGGAAGAAGGTATGTTATCTGCTGCCAAACAAGAACTATTTAAATGTAAATTTGAAGGAAATGTAGAGTTTACTCTAAAAGTAAATTGTAAATTCTAAAGAAAAGTTGTATGTGAAAGATGCAATTATTAACCCCCACTCTTCCAAATATTCCTATTTGGTCAAAGAGCAGTTTTATGAAACACACTTCTGGAATAAAAAAATTCCTTTAGGTATGGTCTCTGCTTAAACAGAAACACCTTTTTTAGAAGCCTAACTTTTAGATTACTTCCCATACTGGAATTAATCACAGGATGCCTCAGTACAATTCTAGAATTCCACTTATACTTCAATAAGGATGTTTTCATCTCCCTACCTCAGCATTAGAGCATGGAATTTTCAAAATGAGAAAAGATATCTTCAAGAATGAACCTACTGTTCAAAGTGGACTTTTCATAATAAAACCAACATTCACTACTAGGCCAATTTATGCTGGCTCTCCCTACCACAAATTACCTCTGCTGAAATCCAGACACTTCATCAGGGCTTCATTTATTTTGCTACTGCCATACTGTTTTTACTGATCTCAGTCATCCTTCTCCATTGTGTAAAGATGTCCTTTTTAATCATGTCATCAAATTTAGACAGATAACAGCTGATGACACAGAAATTTAAGGAATGAAGCTTCTCTGAGAGAAATAAGGTGGAGGACACTGGCACCATCTTCTCGGCATTGTTCTTAAATTCACTTTGTTCATCATCTTTGGTCCTACCTGTGACCTCTGGGTGCTTCAGCAGGAGCAGGAGTCCATATCTCAGAGTGGTGCTTGTTGTCTCTGTTCCAGCAACAAATAGATCAGCTACAGTGCCAACCAAGTTTTCAATAGTGAATTCTGACTCTTGGTTGTCCTTTTCCTAGAAATGATTTCATGCAATTATCTGACAAATTATGTGTCAGTATATCTAAATATACGAAATTTAAAAAAAATACTATGTTATAAAGTTAGCCAAAAGAGATACTGGACAGTACAGTATTAGAAAAAGCAACTGTGTGGTATGGCAGAAGCTGCAGATCAGTTGACTCAAACTTTATTTCCTGATAGGCCTACAAGTTCCATTCATGAAACCATTTGCTGCTTAGGTTAGTCACACAGAATATTTCTTTCCTCAGAAATAAAAGCAGAAGTATACAGATGTCCTGTCTTAGTTCAATTTGTGTTATATAACAGAATACTATATACTTGGTAATTTGTAAAGAAAAGAAATTTATTTCTGATGATTCTGAAGGCTGGGAAGTCCAAGAGCATGGCACTTGCTTCTGGCAATGGCCTTCTTGCTACTTCATCATGTGGCAAAAAGTGGAAGGGCAAGAAAGAGTAAGAGTGAGAGCAAGGGTGGGGGCACAATCACATTTATAACAAGCTGTCAAGAACTACCCCACTCTTGCAATAATGACATGAGTATATTTATGAAGGCAGAACACTGATGACGTAGTCATGTTTTGTTAGGCTGCACCCACCAACTCTGTTGCATTGGGCATTCACTTTTAACACATGAACTATAGAGGACACATTCAAACCAGAACATGAATCTTCTTCTATTTTTTCCTTATTACTCAAAACACAAATGTGAAGGAGGAATAGGATTGACATCATCTTTGGACATGAGCATTTGATCATAGTAATGAAGACTTCTATACTAAATATGGTATATAAAAAAAAAAAAAAAGAAGGCACTTGACTCTCTCATGCTTAAGGGCTACCATATTATTTCTAGTCTAGCCCACCATAAGGCTTCTTGTATTTGAGATATATAAGCCAACTATTTGATTATGCTCTTGATATAGTTTGGATAATAAATATTTATCTCTCCCATCCTGATAATAAATGAGTTCACATAAGATCTGGTTGTTTAAAACTGTTTCTCCAACTTGCTTCTCCTCTTGCCATGTGATGTGCCTGTTCTTGCTTTGCCTTCTGCTATGAGCAAGTACTCCCTGAGGACTCTGCAGAAGCTGAGCAGATGCCAGCATCATGCTCGTACAGCCTGCAGAACTGTTAGTCAATTGGGCCTCATTTTCTTATAAATTATCTGGCCTCAGATATTTCTTTGTAGCAATTCAAGAACAGCCTAACACATTCATTTTTATGATTTTTTATTATTTGTAAGTGAACACAATTTTAGTGTATAAATATAAGTAAATTAGGGCTATATCATGAAAAGTGTTACACTCTTGAATCAAGAGTTTGCAATTTTCTTCTGTCAAAAATTTACAAAGACTCAGTTACACCTACATATTCATTACAAAGCTGAAATGTGTGAAACAAATATGTCAACAAAACCAAGAATGAAATATAGTAAAAGATAATGAGTTCACAAAGACAAGACAGGTCTAACAAAACTGTAATCTAGATGGGAGGCAACAGGCAACTTGTTCTAAGGAATAAGTTCAGGAATAAATAGGAAAATACAAAGTGAAGAGAAATGGCAATTATTAATACAAAAACGTGAGGCATTAACTGCCTATATTGGATAAAGAAGAGTAGGGGTAATGCAAATGCCAAGGCTAAGGGATCAATTGAATAAAGTTCTCATAAATTGAAAGTGTGAATACACCTACAATGAGTAAAGTATTTGAATTAGTAATCAAGAACTCCACCCCACCCTCCCCACAAAAAAAAAGTTCCAACTCAAGATTACTTCACTAGTGAATTCTACCAAAATAGTTGAAAAGAGCTCAGATCCAAGGGAAAAGGAAAGGGAACTTGTATGAAGAAGGTAATGTCCTCGAGAAGTCTCAAAAACCACAGCCCTCTCCAGTACTTGTGCTCGTGAAGGCAAAGAAGGTCACCTTGACTTCAGATCCCAGCAGACTGCCAAATTGGGTAGGGAGGCTGAGAACACTCCTACCTGCCCTTTCCATGGATTACTAAGTCTCTCAGGGTTTCACCTCTGCCAGCTTCTTTTTACTTTATTTGTGTGTGTGTGTGCATGTGTGTATGTGTACATGTTTGTGAGTTGTAGATTCTTCTTATGAATTGACCAATAAGGTCCATTACTGTCTCTTTAACAGTCCATTTGGCGTATGATTATTCACCTGTAATATTGGCTCTTCCTTCTGAGAATAAATGATGATTCACATCTTTGTCAGCCAACTGGAAATCTGTGATGCTTCAGGCTATGGAAAGGTCTGAGAGATATACAGTGCTTGGGTTCCACTCTTTGCTACAAAGGAGGGCAATATTGAGTGGGGCTTAACTGGGCCTAACTGTGCTTGGTCTCCCAGGAGCAGGTGTAAGCACCACCTCTGATGAGGGTGGCAAGAGAGTGACATAGACTCTGTAAGATTTACTCGGTTATAAATAGGCTTAGTGTGGTGATTTTCTCAAATGCCAGCTGTACTAGCAATGTACTGGGTTTGTGAACACACTGAAGATATTCTAATTAGCTGGGGTGATGTGGGTATAGTGTTAGATCATCACTGGCCATCTCAGAGAAATGCAAATCAAAACCACAATGAGATACCATCTCACCACCAGTTAGAATGGCAATCATTAAAAAGGTCAGGAAAACACAGGTGCTGGAGAGGATGTGGAGAATATAGGAACACTTTCTACACTGTTGGGTGGATTTGTAAACTAGTTCAAGCCATTATGGGAAAACAGGTATGGCGATTCTAAGGATCTAGAAGTAGATGTACCATATGACCAGCCATCCCATTACTGGGTATATACCCAAAGGATTATAAATTATGCTGCTATAAACGACACATGCACAGTATTTATTGCAGCACTATTCCAATAGCAAAGACTTGGAATCAACCCAAATGTCCATCAGTGACAGATTGGGATTAAGAAAATGTGGCACACTATACACCATGGAATACTATGCAGCCATAAAAAGATGAGTTTGTGGTCCTTTGTAGGGACAATGGATGCAGCTGGAAACCATCATTCCTTAGCAAACTATCACAAGAACAGAAAACCAAACACCGCATGTTCTCACTCCATAGGTGGGAACTGAACAATGAGACACTTGGACACAGGAAGGGGAACATCACACACCGGGGCCCATCATGGAGGGGGGAGGGGGAGGGACTGCATTGGGAGTTATACCTGATGTGAAATGACGAGTGATGGGTGCAGCACAGCAACATGGCACAAGTATACATATGTAACAAACCTGCACGTTTATGCACATGTACCTCAACCTAATGAGTATAATATATAAAT